GACATTTCGGCATTATGTCAGGTACCATTTGGGATTGCAAAGGTACACATTCTATATGTCTTTACGCAAATAGAATTCTCCTTCTTTCCATGTGGGCATGCGATCATTTTGGCGTATTTTATTCCAAGAAGGAGCTTTTCATGAAAAACATTGTGATATGTGTCAATTCACCCTAAATTTGCTTGAAATAGTGATAAAATAGTTACCGCTATCCTCTGTAAGCTCAATTCATTAATGTCTAAGTTCGATGATGAAATAGACACCGATTACATATACCGATCAGATTCTCTCAATAGGAATAGTGTAATTTATTGTAAGCTTGTAAGTTCATTCTCGTTCTCTATAGTATGAGTATTCATATTTTGGAGAGATTGCAAAGCGACTGACAATAAAGATCATTGACTTGTATGTGCATATGCTAAAGTTCGTTCATTTGAGATATTAGTGAAACACTAGTGACCTGTGAAGTTGCATTTTTAACTCCTGCTCTTGACAATATTCTTTCATTGTCGATTAATTTTGACAACGGCGCATGCATATATACTCGAGTTTATCGACATAGGAAAGCACGAAATATTTCAGTGAATCGAATTCATTTTGAAGATCTTAAGAAAATAGTTGAAATGAGAAAAACGAAAGATCTCGTTCTTTATTTGTCATTGAAAAAAACATCCGGAATGGAGATGAGACAAACTGTGCGTTTATGTCTTGTTTACACAAAAAATCCCAATATTCATAAAAAAAAAAAAGAAAACTCATTCAAAGAGGTAATTAGCATTGATTTCTAAAAACAGATCTTATTTCGGTTGTTTTGCTAAACGATTTGCTTCATCAAAATATATACGAGCTTCTTGATCACTTTTGGACGCAGCTAACCTTTTTCCTTCTTCCCAAAACAATTGAACTAAATCCTCTTGTAATTGGTCATACAAATCATTCTCCACATTGAAAATCCCTTTTAGTTTAGGTTCCTCGCCCAATGCTTTCTTATTTTTGTCAATATCAATAGTCAAAACGTAGACACTGTGTAAATTTTCTTTGGGTGATACAAGTGCAAGTAGCTGGCGAGCAAATTTGCCAGACATAATCGTAATTAGTTTCACATTGGGACTGTTATTAATATAATCATTGAATTTATCACCACAATCGAAAAAATGCCATTTTTTAATGAGTTTCGAAATATTTTGACAATAGAATTTTATTTGTTGATGTTGACCATCTTCACAAATGTGACTATCTAGCCAACAGACCTCGAGAATCTCAGATAATGACGATGTTGTGTAAATATTTGCCATGTAAGCACGTACAGGTGTTGACGACGCCAGTTTCCTGCAAGCACACGAAGAAAGAATAAAAAACAAGAAAAAATGGAAGAACGTATGTTGATAAGAATAAAGCATATTTTTTTTACAACATGACTCATTCGTGCATTGCCACGATACAATTTAAAGCACGAAGAAAAATGAAAGATATCTCGTTTTGTGAAACACGACTGTTAATGAGTGTTGATTTCCACAGTGAAAAAAGTGATGGCATCAACTACCCCCAATAAACCGTGATTTACATTTGAAAAGACCTCTGAATCGTCACAGACCAGTATTAGTGTACAGAGAGTCATTATGCATGATTAAAGTGTTGCCATCGAGTTTCGCATTTTAATCCTTTAGGAATTATGCTAAAAGCTTTTCATGATAATTATGCACATGTGGGTAAATTAATAACTTTTTTTAATATATTTAATTCATTGAAATGAATCGATAGATACAGGGTTGAGAAGAGTTAATTCAATACACTGGAAATTATTATTGATTCAATTAAAAAAGTATCGTTTTTCTTCAAAAATTGAATGATGTCATAGGGTTTTATATTTTTGGTCGAATAACAAGCACGCATGCGAAGTTAAGATAGCAATAAACAGCCTTACCGTGTAAAAATCGAATCCGAATGATGTTAATAGAAAATTTACACTAGACAGGACATATTTATTTTACGAGAATGAATGAGTAACTGACTAATCGTAATTTTATATATTATATATAAACCATCCAGTTGGAAAAATCCTACTTTAGGAGCGTGCATAGCGCTTGGAAATTCCAAGAACAGATAGACTGGAAAATTCCAATATGTATCAATAAGCGTGACAAGGAGCATTTTTTGACTAGGTAATTGTTATTGCAGAAAATACGAATAAAGACACCACTGTGACGATTTCTGGTAGAAGAGATATTAGTGTGGATGAAGGTACACTTTATTATATTCCTTCATATCATACAATCGCATCGCTCTGATCAAAAGTACACGTTTATATACGCAAGCATCAGAGAGAACGAAAGAGGAGGAAAGACAAGGACATCAAAGCAACAAGAAAAAAGCAGTGATGATGCCAAGGACCAATATATATCGTAGGGAAGAATTAAATATCGCCCATACAATGCACTCCATTGGGACCGTTATAAACATCAATTTTTCTGAGAAATTTTTTATCATAGTATCTGAGCAAATAACTTACAAAGGTCGTGGATATGGCTCTCCTTTACTCTCACCAACAATAATGCTTATACCCTCAGTCATATGCCCACAACTTCACTAACTGAACGGAATTTAGAACGATCAATGTTCGTCTCCACATTCACCGTTGTTCCGATAAAAACATGTCAAGGAATGATATCTGGTCGAGTATAGTCTACAGATTCTCCAAGGAAATATATTACCTTTGTAGATTTTCAGATAAGCACCACTGAAATGAACAAAAGTGTTGTACAGCCAATTCTTCGAGAAAAGACAATCTTTGCATGTCTATTTCTAATACTTTGAATAAGGACTCCTCTATCATGCATAATCGGTATCAACTTATCATGAGCGAAGCGATAATCTTTTACACTATTTACTATGGCAGATTTCATTGTTGCATATTCTCTAAAAGATAACGGGAAGTCAGCATTGCTATAGTAGGAAGTAGTTAAATGCATCTAGAAAAATCAATTAACTCAATCCGCTGTGGTAAGTTCTATCCTACAATGGTTAGCATTCAAAATTACCATTAATAAATAATTGAACAGATCTGATCATATCAGACAACGAAACGAATAAGAAAATCTCGACTCGGATTCGATCTCTAGATCGTACCATTATGGTACCTTTGTGGATATGGCAAGTCGGATGTCGATCTAAACACAAATAGCTAGATCGTCCACGTTTTCTCTTCGGCATATGTCAGAGTAAAAGAAACAGAAATAAAAACGAGTTATTCTATTTAAATACTACTGAATTAGTCTTACAACATTTCACTTGTTAATTTTTTAGTATATAGGTTGAATAGTAGGAAATATAAAAAATGTACTGATATTGCGGGCAATAATAGCGGACACGCGCTATATGTTCTATGCAAATAGTTTGCAGACGGAGTCTCAAAGAAAACCAAAGAACTATTTCAATGGCGCAAGAGAACAAAAGGTGGTCAAGTAACAAAAAGAGGAGTTCAAATTCCTTTTAAAAAAATGTCTCTCTTCAAATCAATTTGAACAAAGAGTCCTATCGTATATCACACCAAGGCTATCGCGAAAGTGTTCGGGTTATCCATGGAGCATTGAATGGAGATCAACAGAACAGAAAAAAGCCTTTCTCTGCTTCTCCTATAAGAAATCGAAATGCTTCCAACTTTGGCAGAACTATCTGCATCACTCTCGTTGCCGTTCAACCGCTCTCAATAGTCGCACATATCTTCAAGGTGTCGATCAATCAAATATTTTCAACCGTTTACCATTAAGAAATTCGATGTATAGATAGAGCAATATGCGAGCAACGAATCTTTTTGACATTCTTGTATAAATTACTTGTGTTTTAGAATTTACTTCTAATATTTATTGAATGTGCAATGTCGTTTCGGTTTAGAGAAAGAAAAGAAGTTAACTTATTTTGTATTATATAGGTAGATGAGATGAAAAATGAACTCGTTGGTGCTACTGACGCTGTTGTGTTTTCTTGGACGATTTCAATGTCTCATTGCATAAGATTATGATTGTTCATTTGTTCAAAAGATAAAGTCTACAATGATTTGTCACTCTGTCGAACCAACTAACAAAGGAACTCAACCTGGCTTTGAACATAAGATGCAGAAGTCGAAAAGACAAGTCCAAACAACAGTGGCCCTATTCATTGATCATCTGTCAACTAATGTAATTAACATTTCGTTTATACAAGGAATTGACTGAATATTGCCGAGTATGTTGGTGGTGGAGATGTTGTTTTTAATGACCTGTCGGTGGGTCACTGAGTGTTTGTATTTGGATGTTGATGTCATTCAGTCGCATTAACTTGCGCTCTTTCAAAATCGTTCACGTCTTATTTCATTGATTAAATCATCGTCAAATATCTACATAAACCAATCTCTTATGACAAGTAATGTATGTAGTTGGATGGATAATATTCTACTTTTGTGATTGAAGCATCTAGTTAGGTGGTGCACTGATATCGCTGCTTCATTGTGGTACATGAGCAACGACCTAGCCGTATCCATCTGATAGTTTCTTACTATTCGTGAACGTCTTCATTCCATTTATACATAAAAAGTATTATATCACTTGAAGCTTTTGAATTGAAATCAGACAACGAAGATTTCTACGTTCTTTATTGTTTCTTAAGTACTACCGACTCCAAAAAATAAAAAGGGCGACGAACGGAGGATCTTTTTTTTGTTTGTGAGCCATCTGAACTTGTCTTGCATAATAACATTTGATCGAAAACTGCAAGAAAAATATAATGCATAATGCCGGATAATTTTTCAAAATAGTTATAAACGCAATTATTTTAGGACTATTTATTATTATTATTTGAAGAATATCGGTCAATAGCACCAAATCAAGTACATTTTTTTTCCTGGTTTCTCAACAATCTAATTGATATTCTTACTAAAAATTAGATTTATTATTTAATATAATATTAATTGTAACTCATCGATTTCATTTATTGTATATGAACATAGGACTTATTTCAATTTATCATCAATGAGAAAAACAGTCGATTAAAACTTTTAGAAATGTACCTGCACATAAACATAGACTACATAAAATTGATAGTGCCAACGCAAGAAGAGCCGATCCATATGAGATCAATATAATAATATAAATAACAACATCATATGTTTTTAATTGGTCCTTATTTTGAAGTGATTGACTTGCATATATAACTGCAGTTATTAATAGAATAGGGCCTTCAATTATGCTGAGTAATGATAAAGATGTTTCCCATACTGTATGTAAAATATTCTCGCCTTCATCTTCTTTTTGACCAACAGGACAACAATATCTAGCAACTTTATCTATTGCAGATAAACCAAAAAATGTATTGAATATAATTAAAACTTCATAGAAAGTATCACGAAATGATGATTGAGCATCAAGAAATAAGAATAATATTTGTGTTTCAAATAATAAACCATATAGAAATACACGTACTGGTAATGTACAACAGCTTATCGCAAAATTTTGACAATGATCATGATTATGGTCATCACCACAAATACCGATTAGATTAATTAAATGAAAAATAACTTCAAAAGAAAAAAATAAAATCACTACAACAAGTAAACTAGTTGTATTTGATAATAATGTTAAATATGATACTAATTCACCAACTTCAATTGATATACTGAATAAAACTATCAATATTGGATGAACAAGAAGTGGTTTAAATACTGAAGCTCCACCGACACCAAACAATATAAAAAAGAAACGTTGTTGTTCATTTTCATCAAGATCATTCTGCTTAGCAATAAAATAAACGCCTAATTGTTCAGCAAGATTGAATATATCAATTAAAATTAACATTATTTCACTAATTATCTTTCTTTTTTCCATATAACCTATTCAGGATTTTTATCTTCAAGACAAAGTTTTATTTAAAAGACAATATATTTAAAATATCTTGTGGTTTTGTTGTGGTATTCAAATTAATAACAAAACATAATAGATTCGATCTTTATTAAACTTATTTTTATTAGTTTCGAAATAGGTTTAACATTTATTCGACTTTCCTATGAATCATACGATGAAATTAACCGAAAAATGATTAAAAAAAATGTGTTCAGACATCTATATCTAATAAATGAAATCATTCAGTTCAGTGAGACGTTTTTCTTGATCAAACTACTATGAGCAAGTTTTTCTTCTTTATTAAACACAATAATTTCTTCATGAAAATATAATTTCGTCAAATAGATTTGTTTCTATTATGTAAAACGATAATTAAATATTCATTTCTTTTTAAAAAGAAACCTTTTTTCATTTTTTCAATAAGAAAATCTTTGAATAATGAATTTATTTTAAATTTCAATCAATGTTTTATATCTCGTGTATATACATTTAAGGTAACATCTCATTGAGGATCATGTTCATAAAAAGAATATATTATCTCGGTAAGAACTTTCTCAAATTATGTAAACAATTGAGGAAAACTATTTTTACAATAATCAATTAAAGAAAAGCATTTAACAATAAATTCTCTTTTATTTGTCTATTTGCTCTGACCTTAGTAAAACCAATAATCGTACGACAATAAATGATTTTGAATTTGAATTCAGATTTTGATTTGGCAATAAATTTAATTCTTTATATTTTAATTTGCACTCAAATCAGTCGAATTATTTCGGTTTGATAAAATGATATGAGAGCATTTCAGGAGAAAAGTTTTCATGAACACAACAGTTTTATTCGAATCGTGGAAGGAACTATTATTAAATTCATAACTATTTTTATAGAATTGTTTCAATTGAGACACAAATAGAAAAAGACCGAATTGATATCAACTACACTAAACAGAAAACTCTTGTTTAATGAATTAAAAGCTATTTCTACGCTTTAATTATGCTAAAAGAAATTAATTCGTTCTTTCATTTTTTGCATAAAATCAAGTTTGATGCGACTCTTTATTTTCTCTTTTGAGTTTAATACAAAAAAAAATTTTCGTTATCTTGATTAGAGATGACCCATTCAACCAGATCTTCTGTTGTCAATTTGAAGATCTTTATTTGAGTAATAATATTGCTTATGAACACAGCTATGAGACGTGAACGAAGTATTTACTTTTAAAAGTAAAAAAAAAAGACTTTTGTTCATATCCGATAGCTTTGTTCTTGAAGAATACCAAGGTATTGCCTTAGCAGTTAAATTATAACTCAAGTCACGATATATAACTTGGTAACAAAGTGTCTGATCAAATGTGCCAAATCACTGTGAAAATCACTCAACACAAAACGGTGTATAAAAGTAAATGTACCACCTATAGTGTTGATGCAAAAAGATCTAATGAAAATATGTGTTAACAGGAAATCGCTATGATTATTTTAACTTGATGATTGTTAATAAAAGAAAAATTTGATTTAGTCGAACATCGTTTATATTTAATAGGATATGATGAAAAAGAATTGTTCGTTGGTTATTTTATTTGTCAATATATTTGAGAAAAAGAAGCAAAATACCAATATTAACATGTGATCATAAGTTGATTTTGTTTATTATGAATTCATATTTTTGAAAGATTAATTATCAATAAGCTTTCTAAAAAATTAAATATTGAATCTTTAGTTTCAATCAATGCATCTATGGAAGTGACGTAAATATTTTGAAAATGACTTACGATCAATCAAATTTTGAAAGTTATATTTATAAAAAGCTGCTTACCAATATCAATATTTCTTCAATAATTGAACTTATTCTATATTTAAAATAAATAACTGAATTTTTTACTAAGATTTCATTAATTATTGCCTATTCAATATTAGAAATTTCATATTTCTATTTGAAAAAAAATTAACATTCAAATTTCTGTAGTCCATTGAAAATCTATTTTCATATTTAGAGAAAAATATATCTATGCGATTGATAACCTCTTATTTTTTATTATTTTCAAATTTTTAAATAAGAATTCTAAATGATTTTCTTATTGGAAAAGAAAAAGTTTACTTCTAGTTGATTTTACGTTAAGTCATTTGTTAACTTACTCGAGTTTTATTTCTCTATTGAATATTTAAGTTGTCATTAAAGTTATGCATTTCTATCACGTCAGATCAAATTGCTTCGGTTCGACCGAATAAAAATACTCTTAAAAAAAGAACATTATTCAAAGAAGTAATGCGGAGAAAAAGAAATCTGATCATATTTGTTGCCAACGCTAAGAAATGTAAAACAAGAAATAAAACAATCTAATTTCTATTGTAACTAGATGAAAAATGTGACAATCGTACGGGCTGTTTTCCTTTCCTTTCAATAAAATCGCTCTTTGAAACTCTATTCAATAAATAATTTATACATGCATTATTATAACAATAATCTTTCACAATATTTTAATAATAGTCTACACATTGAAAAGTGTATATTCTTATTTAACTAACACATTATCAAGTAGATTTATTATATACGAGAAATGTTCATGGAAGTGCTGCTGTCGCTACTGCAATGGTATCAGCGGCGCGGTAGTGACACTTTTTTAAAAATTATCACGACAGTAGCAACTTTTTAGAGAGTTCATCGTATTGCGACAGATTTCCAGCCGCAATGGGCATCTTTGTTGTATACGCGAGAAAGAACATAGCAATATTCCCTCTTCCAAATATATCATCATAATAAAAACACATTTTTCTTTAAATAATTACATACTCTGAAAAAACTTGGACTTTACTATCAGCCTGTGTATTGATGTTCTAGTTTACATTTATGCATTGTGAAAATAAATTGAGTGCAATGAAGATATTCTCATCAGCAGATTTTCATAGAAGAACTTTTGTTACTGTCATTAAAATCAGTTTTCTTTTTATTTTGTATCGTTATAGAAGTTCTTTTTTTAGACAATTTATTATATATTCTAATAAAGCTTGAAATTTTCTATTATCCTGCATATTTCTGTCTTGTCTTGTATTTAAGTGCTGGAGAATAACTGTAGTAGTCTATTCTCTGATGCTGCTAAGAATTGTCTAATTCGAATTCGAATGCACATGAGACTTCAAATGTTATTCTTGGAATATTGTGGAGCACAATTTAGAATTCTGATATGGTTCTTAGTTTGTGAATCATTGGGTTACTATCTTTTATGGGACTCTTGGACCTGTAGACAAATTATTTTAGTGTACAACATGCCTTCACAACGATAATGTCTCATCTAATGCTGACCAATAAGTCGACTACTAGCCTAATGGAATAGAGGTTGTAATATCCCCTATCATGTGCATTTGTTATGCGATTCACAAGGTTTGAGTCTACTATGAACTATCGTTGAATGTGCCTGACAACCGAAAAAATCTGACTATATCCACAAGATATTGGAAAATCATTGAACCTTCAATTATCTAAGTCAAAGTCTTGGACTAGTGGAGCATATAATGTAGTTTTATTAAATCCAAATTATGAGAAAACTGGGCTTTTACTAATCACGTCATAATCATTTTACATGCGAAAAAAAAACATTCAACTCAGTCAGGATGTGGATAACAAGAACACCCATCCACATCCACACCCTATATCAGAAAATTGAGTGTAGATGGAAATGCAGGTCACAACATATCTTAAGCACATGATCAATATTCATGGTGGGTGAAAGATATGTCAGTAATTGAACATATTGTGTTACAAATGGGAGACCAATAAGCACGATGTATAGTGGGCAAGAGTGGAGAAAAACATAATTTTGTTTCTCTTTGCGTTTACAACAACTGAAAGAAATGAACTAAATTTTGTTATATTCCTTCAAGCAAACATATTGTACATAAATACGATGGTCTAATGAAGTTACATTGATGGGATTCATTCTCAAAAATTAGCATCCAAATGAGAGTTTTCGTGCGATGCATCAAGAAAAAAAATATTAAATCTATACGTCTGTACAATATTTTTTCTTCATTCGCCGTCACCATTCGCGCTGGTAAGTCAAGCACAACATGAGGCCTTATCGATATATGCATGTCTCGATTCTAAAGCTACGTAAAAAGGTAATAAGCGATACAGTATACATTTATATATATATATATGAAAAAAACAGATGCTATCGTGCGGCACATTTATTTTTGTCAGGTAACACCAGCTTCAAGTCCAGAGCGCATGGAAACTGTTCATTCGCCATCAGTTGCTGAACCACACATATTAACGGCTGAATATGCTGATCTTCAAGCACCATCGTTAAAAGCAGAAGAAATACAAAGCGATACAAGTCAATAAGAGCCATTGAAATTATCATACACTTCAGATAGTTCAAAAAATATTATGAACGAAAATTCTTCGTGAGTAATAGCCTTCATTGGATTAACTTTTTCTTTTTTCATGCATCAGCATTTATATTCACTTTTCTTTCTCTACTAGAACTCCGACAGTACAGTCTACGGGAAGTAAAACTACGTATCCAAAGTTATTTATTGTCGCAATAATAGTTGGTATCATAATTGTTTTGGACATTGTGGCCTCATTATCGATAGGCATTTACTTACTCGTTCATAAGTCAAAACAAACAAGAGGTGAGCATCTTCCTGCATTCACTATCAACATAGAAACAAAAGACATAATGATAAGTTCGCCTTTTATTTTTTCATAAAAGGTTTCAATTAAATTCTTAATACATAAGAAGGAAGGCTGATGTTTATTTCTCTTGTATTCTTCTCTTTTTTAGTCTGCTGCAAGCAATTTTATCGTACGGAAGGGTCCTACTCAAACATCGAAGAAAAAAATTTGCTTTTTGATCAGCATAGAAACACAATGAAACCTCTATTAGTGAACATCTCCTAATTACGAACGGTCATGGATCCGACGGAGCAATTTTTGCTGTAGAGACCTCTCTGTAATGTGAACACATTTTTTGCAGATACTTTTGCTATTATAACTTCTCAAATGAGAACACGTTTGCTTGACCTCTTTCTCTGTTCTGTTACCCATTTTGTATGCACGACGAGCACCTACATTTTGTGTATGATTTAACTACTGTACATGTAAAGTACCAATGTACAAAAAACTAAAAGATCAAGTGTATGAATGATTTGTGCAACACGCTACAAAAAAATTAGTTATAAAGCAAAAAGACAAACAATGTTAGAGGGTTCTTTTTAAAAACAATTAAATTTTTTGTTGCATTTGAAAAATCTTTTAACTCAAATTATCCAGATGAAAATAGATAAACAAGAGAATAAATAATCAGACCTTTATCTGTGACTAATATAGAGGCGGATTTTCTTGAACATTTTCTTTATGTCATAGCAAACCACGCTTCGACTCTCTAAAATGAACACTTGCGTATAACGAACACTTTTGAATGATCCTGATAGTGTTCAATACGTAAATCGTTCATTAAATCTACTTTTTTTTTCGAAACTTTGAGTTGAATTCAGATAATGCCATTTTTTCTTTTTGAGAAGCAAGAAATGAACTCATTATATTTAATACTTTTCTCTGACAGCATCTCTGAAATTCTACTTAACAGTTACTGCTACTTTTCCTTGAATTACGTATATCAAAATTCTTTTTAACAGACGTCTGAAAGTGTAAGTATTGTATATCAAAGAGATGGTTTCGAATAATCACATCTTTCGAAGACTTCTCTCTCATAATAGTAAGGAATTTCAACCTTCAATTGAATTTCTCTAAGTCAGCTTCGACCCAGATACCACAGTGCTTCCAAAACATACGTCCCAAGAGAACTGAGCATTAAGTCATTGAGGTTGTAGACATGCGTGCAGGTCCAGATGAAGAGCAGTCCCACAACTATAATCTTAATGCGTCAAAATGCGTTGCAATTGAGGAAATACTTCCGATGCAACTTTATAAAAAACAATCGTTAAAACGAATGAATCCTGATTTTTGGTCTTCTCGAGTATCTCTATCAGACAATCACATTGATTTTTCGGTGAATGTCTCAATCGAACTGCTTTGGAATACAACGGGCTCCACTGTGGCTGGTACCGGAGTTGCAGGTGCTACTGACACTTGCCGATTCTATAATCCCAGGAAGATTGTATTTGATTCATCAAATGCACTTTATATCATCGATCAGTCTAATAATAGAGTTATCCAATGAATCATCGGCGAGCCGACAGGAACTACTGTTGTTGGTCAGGCTAATGGAGTAGGAGGCTCTATGACATATCATTTGATTCAACCAAATGGCATTTGTGTTGACTCGAGTAACAATGTGTACGTCGCTGATACTAAATCATCGAGTTCAATTTTGGTCAAGTGGCGCGTTCTCAGGATCAACTGTTGCTGGCAACGGTAAGAAAAAAGAAAAGTGGAAATAAGTTAAGCGAATGCAATATCTCTTTGTTTTATGCTAGCATTTCAATCTGGGGCTTTGAAATCATATTATCCTTGCCATACTTCTACAGAATGCTCCATGCCATCAATCAGCCATACGCACTTATCGCACAAATATGCACGTAATTCAATTAGTCTGGGTGATGACGATGTATATTCTGTAGAAGTGCGATCACTATTTGAGACATAGAAGAGATCCAATAAAGTGATAGGATCGATAAGCAATGGTTGTTCAAACCCCGAGTGGTATCGTTCGTTTTAACTAGAGAGTGGAATATCCGTGACTTTCGACTACTTTGTAGTTTACAATGTTGCCCATAGGCATTTATTTTCACTACCAGTAATGCTAGCTTAAGATCTGAATAAAATGTCAAACTGGTTTAAAATCCGTCCGTTCACTAAATTGAGCTTTCCATAGACGTCGACTAACTCTATATCATTCACCGGAACGTTGTATGCCACAATATAAGTTCCATACTGTCGGAGATTTGATTCAAGGCAATCAGTCGTTAATGACTTGCGCAAGATCATTCCATGGCTAGTGATGCTAGGACTTCGAATATTACAACTCGAGAACGTCTTTCAAGCCTCTTAACCACTCAATCATTTTGGCCATACTGGATGAATTCGAAGTAGTTTTTCAACAATGAGTAGTAAACTAAGAAACAATGTTCATATTCTCATTTCAAGAGCATCAATAAGTAACTTGCTTATCGAATCCTATTTTGTGCATGGTTACTGTCCACAATTGCAGCTTTTGAACCATCGATATACTGGAAAATGAATATACTTTCCTTTCCTCTGCTTTTTTGCTCTTAAAAAGATTTTTCTACTATTATATTCCTACTGATTATCGCTTAACATATGCGCTGGACGAGATATGAAAATTATCTTCGCTTGATTCCACATTTGTAGCAATGTTCCGATACATAGCATTCAAATAAACTGATTGATTTTGACTACGTTTTGAATATATTTTCTGAATAAATTAGAGTACTTCTCTCCTAATTGAATTTTTAATTTATTCAACGAGTCAGAATCGTATTATTAGTTTAATGTTCAAATTTTGCCAAAGTAGAACCAATGCTTTGACATTGAATGTATACAAGAAACGACAAGTCAGCAATTGCGTAGTAATCGATCGTTGATTTGAACTTTAGTAGAAAACATGGTATCTTTCTTGCGTCATGTATGATTTTAGAAGATTTGAAAAACCTCGCAAGATTCGATTATCACTATTGTGTGCCATAAGTAAGACAAGTAGAGAAGGCAAGATGATAGTTACAAGTGCAAATTTCACATTCAATAAAAAACAATATTAATAGTGAGTTTCGTGAATCTAATTTACTGAAAATAGTACGAAAAATGTATGAAATTGACTTTATGAATAAACAACAACAATTTAAAGGAAAAATTAAGAAAATAATAAATAAAATAATTGATCCCAAGCATAGTTTCTTGGAACTTCTCAAAAGAGATACTTTTAAAAAAAAGTTAGCTATTTAATTAAATTTTCATAGCTATTCGACAAGTCTGCAGTTATTCGGCGAGTCTATAGCTATTTGAGTTTTTCATGAATCCGCTGAATACCTACAAAACAGTTCGATGAATACGAACTTGTTACATAATTATGTATTCATCAAAAAGGCACCTAACAGCTATCAACTGTGTCTGAGTACCCGTCAATTAACTGATTAGCTATGAACTACCCCAATATCTATCAGATAGACGAATAACTGTAAACTAACCTAATAGTTATTAAAAATTTAAATTGCAAAAGACTTGTCGAGTAACTATAGAAAAACCGAATTGCTATGAAAAAGTTGAATAGCCTACAAGTTTCGCAACATCTTCAACATTAAAATAAATGTATCCCTTTTGAGAGTGCGCCGAATGTGCGGCGGAAAAAGCAAGAACTTACACTCACACTCAGTTGGCAGAAAATAAATATGAATAAACATATTTTGTATTTATGTATTTCACCTCTTTGATGGTTACAACATTTGTAGATGATGTATTTGACAAAATATCATGTATTCTTCATTCGAAGCAGTTTCCGCATTGAAAATACTAATATTTAAAAAAGACGAAACCATTATTGCTGTATAATTTACATTCAATATTATAAGAACTGTATGAATAACTTTTTAGTGCCACAATATATCAAAAAAATAGATAATTTGTCTAATAATCATGTATATATCAATACATTTTTTTAATTGGTACCATAGACAAGACGTATTCTTTGGCGACAAAGTGATATCTTTATATTTCTCTCAGTTAAGAGGACAAATGGGCTTTTTCTTGGAGCAATTCAAAAAACAAACACTCAAAACCGCTCCTTCTTAATCAAAACTACGGAATTTCAGATGCATGAAAGTTTTCCCGCACAATTTCACGAGATTTACAATTAAAATAGATTGCAATAAAAAAAAAGTTATAATGATGATGTGGGATCATTATTTATTATATTAATTATTTGTTTCGTACACTATAGGATTACATTATAATCAATGGATACATTTCTAACACGTAATACGATGACCAAGCGTGTGATAAAATTGACGTGGAATGAAACCTAAGTAATCACTTAGATTTAATCTTTGAGCCGAATAATAAACTGATAATTGACCTCTATAAGAAAAATAATTGATTTCATTATGCCATCCACATAAGTAACGAAATGAACACGGATGATTATTTCTGTATATGAATATTGCAATATCAAACATTGGTAATCTGATTGTATTCGAACGAGAATAAAAACCATCCCGTTTATATTCGGCCTGTTGAAGATCTATTTCTTGCAACGTATTATTAAGCTGTACAGCATTGTCTATTTCACGAAGTATCACACGAATAATTGTGAGATTAACTTCTGACTCTGATGTTCGATTATAATCATGATGATGAAGACCAATTATTGATGTCGTCGCTAGTAATAAGATTTGTTTAATATTGATTATAAATGCCTTACCATTTAGCCAAACAAACCATTTAGCCATAGGAAACATTCGATGCCCAAGCATTTTTACTGTTTCTGTTAGTTTAGCAGCGACACGAAATAGCGAATCACTCGAACCTAAATCAATAAGATCCCATTGATTTTGCATATTCATTGGATCTACTCCTGTAAGAGAATTTTGCTTAAATGCACTCATCGTTTTTGTATCAAGCAGTGCAACAAAACAAGTTCCTGGCGGTACCGTTTCTCGAATAATAGGTAAATCATCATAACAGTTGGTGATACAGATAAATACTATAATTTGACACTTATCATTGTGTGCATATCGATTTCTGACTTTATCAAGTATCGATTGAATGGTAAAACCACGTTTAATTGGATTTATATTGAAATAATTATTTGGTGCATATGATTGATAAAGTTGTTCACGATTACTAAATGAATATATATATCACTAAAAGCACAATCGAATTTTTTATTTAAACATCGTTCTGGTTTGCCAGTTGAAGTTCGATTAGCAATTGTTTCAGATTGCATTTGAAAAAAAAATGTCATCATTGAAACATTGACGCCCATCTGAAACATATTTTGCAAACAAATGTTTTCCATGTAAGTGATAGAAATCATACGATGTATCAATAGTATTTAGATTAAGATTTAATAATATTGATAAAATATATTCAATTGTTTCTGATTGATCCCATCATGTAGCATCTTGAACAAAGTGATAACAATCATACTGAACTATATCTTTGAAAGTTTGTGTTGATGTATTAAATCCTAGTAATGAGATGAAATCTATTAATTGCTTCTTGGAATCAATGAAATTTGAATGAATCATATCTTCAGAATTGATAATTGTTGACTTTTTATTTGGTATACTCTTGAAATAACTTATGAGATGTTTGGTAACAATTGTGGCTTTCTTAATGGTTGTGCTAAATGAAATTTTCCAATCGAAAGTGAGATTACGATCTTGTCGCATTTTATCTAAATATTGATAGGCAACTGTTGCTAGAATTGATTTTCTTTTAAAATAAATTTGATTGATTTTTTCCTTTTCAAATTTTATTATTCGAACAAGATCCGTCGAACATGTCGAATTATTATTGACATTCATTGTAAGAGGCATAATGTAAATCTGAACAAATCTATAATTTTTCGAGTCAGAAAAAAAATAATTATCTTGAATAAGTTCACATTCATCATTTAATTGTGAAACTCGAATATTTCCTAATTTTCATGTAGCTATCCGTTGAATATATTTCATTATTCCAGTACCATCATGAGTCCATATAGAACTAATTATACGACTGTATGGTAAACAACTATTTGCTCTCAATTTCTGATGATCAATAGATGACCATTTGAAGCAAAGAGAATTATTATTAGCTTCTAGAGACGGATCATTTTTAATATCAGAAGTTGAACGATAGAAATTGATACTGATAATAACGAACGAACACAATAATAATGTATATAGAAAACGATATAGATAAATAGAACATTTAATAGATCGCATTACGTAAAATGGTTACGATTGACTTTGACTAGGAATACCATAAAGTAAAAAAATGTTCCGATGAAATTATCTAGGCAAGCAAAAAAACAACATGTGCAAGTATCTTGTACTTAGTTCATTCCCTATGTTTGTTCTCAGAAAAAATGATGAGCATTTTTCAATTCAACAGAAGGGTGTAGATGTGAATGTCGACATCGATGAATGAGTAGAGAGAAGCTTCTCATTCTCACCCATACTTCAACTCGAGAAGACTCCAAAATCTCGACTAGGAAACCATCTTGATGTTCGATTCAGACTCATACATGTTATGTGTGGGTCTTGTTCATTGGTGAATCACCTTTGAATCGTCACGGCGTCATCAAAATGATTTCTGATCAAGCGCGCTGACTGAAAATTATAAAATAGAAATAAAATTCATTTCTATTTAAATAGTCATCTGTTTTTGATTCATCGTTACTTTAGATAGAAAAAAAAACAATCATGCTATGGAGTCTATTCGATAGAAAAATATTGTACTCAATAATTCTTCCCAATTAACGATATAAAGATAACCATATGAATTGAAGAACCAACACCAGAGTGTCATCAACTGGTTTGCTTCATGCCCTTCACGATTTCCAACGAGACCCCTTGTCTTTTTATTATTCAGCACGCCGGTTGACCTATTCAATAGAAGTAATCGGTTTCCTTGGCTGTGATCACCAGTTACCACTTCTCTATTCATGTCACCCATCTTTCGTCGAACCAAGCCGTAGTTGCACTAATCAGAGATAACAATTATTTTGATCATATTCGATGTCAAGATCTTGAGGGTAGTTGAGTTGATTGATAGTTTTGCCTCATCCATTGATTCCCGAAAACAACTGAAGGTTTTTGGAATCGCTAAAATGGAAAAATGAATCTTCATTGATGTCGAGCAGAGTGTCTAAGTAAAAAGAGTTAAAATTGAGATATTCTTCCTCGAAGAACTGAGTGAAACTTTTGAGGCTGCTGAGAATATTAATACTATTACATTTGAGATGGGAATGATGATAAAGAGAAGCATTATGTCCATTTTCAAGAGAAGACAGAAAAAAGAAGCGTGACAGATGAAAACCTATCTCATACTGAGGAGCTTAAGATCGATTTCACAAAAAATGTTCTCTATCAACGGTTGACTTAAAAACAAAAAGATATACGATAAGATTTAGTAAAAAAAGAACTTTGTAGAATTTTTTCTGCTTGAAAACAATGATGTCATTAAAATGAGCAACCGGAACACTCATCGAGTCATATTGCATCTGATTTTCAAAAATCTTATTTGTCAATCATGGTTTTCCGTATTAAAATCCGCAATTGCGAGTTTCTGCGGACTTCTTAAAGCTTCCTTCTGACCATGTGCAACATGGTGAATTAGTGTCCCACGAATATGCTAAATTTACTAATTGACAAAAGTAAAGGAGTTCAAAAAAAAAATCTAGGAATTCTAGAAGCTCAAGATAGAAAAACAATAAAAAAAATTTAAGAAACTCGAGGAGATTACGAAACGAAAAGTCCTCAACGAAGTCACGAAATTGTACAAATTGAAAGATTTCGAGAAGCTCGAGAGCTTCCATGTAGGGTCTGGCTGTGGATATGACTCTTGCCGTTACGCATACCGACACTCACATATCCATATAAATCGCAATGAAAAAATTAAAATGATATTTTGAAAGTCTTCCATTTTGTGTAATTTAAAATAAACAAACAACAAAAATATTTTCAGTGTTTTTTTTTTATCTCAAAGATATTGAGTGATTGATAAAAATGTTTGAAGAAAATATTGTTGTTATTTATTCAGACAATCAGGGGGTTGATGTGGACGATTTAAAAATAAAAAGGGTAAATCGCACCACATGATTGTATTATAAGTAGGATATTAGAGCATAGAAGTAAACAGTAATGAAATTGAAAGTAAAATTTGTTCTCTAAATATTACAGTCGATGATATATGGTGCATTATTGTTCTTGATAGACTTGGAATATAATTTTTTATGACTCAGTAAAAAACACAGAGAAAAACATAAAACCTTTTATTTATAGTTTAGTATGACTTTTTTGTGTGAAGAAGTCTTGTCTAAAATATTTATTTCATCTTGCTTATACAACTTTATATCTATTATAAATGTTTTCCTACGAGAATTATTTAAAAATAATTCACACATTCCAAAATCGACTCAATTTTCATATCAACTGTAATTTAGGCTTCGTTAAATCTAAGAAATTCTAAAGTTTACCGATATTTAGCAGTATATTCAATTCGAATCTAGTTTGTCTTAGCATGATTCGACCAAAAAAAGAAAAAGAAAGGATCTTTCAGTTTATGCTTTTCAAGTCATATTTTTTATCGATGTTTACTTTTCTTCGACTTTAATATGGTTCCTAGATGATATGTAAAGTATAAATATATCATACTGTTAAGTTTTATTGAATTATATTTCAATCAAAATGAATAAAAGATTCTTATATATTCCCTATTATAAGAAAAAAATCACTTGTCTTCTCTCTGATTTTAACATTTCAAAAATTTAAAATATTGATTAGCTTGTTCATGAGAATTCTTTCGAAGAAAATATTGATGTAGATATTAACTGCTAGTTTCTAGATACAAACAGAAATTAGAATTTATTTTCAAATAAAAGAAAATTATTTCGTTGGTTCATGTCTTATTTTAAAACAAATTCTGCCTAAGTTTAATTTTACCTAAGACATATGTATGAAAACATTTTTCTTCTTATCTTAAATAGTGAACATATATGTGTATATGCAATAGATCATACAGTGTATACTATGTTGAACAATCATACTATCTACGAATGGAATAGAGATACTGTACGATGATCTATATAAACTGTAAAAGCAAAAATACATGTGTTTCGAAACAAAAAAATATTTACATAGGTGAAAAACGATCGATCAAGTCTCCTGAATTCTCATACTAAAACGTTAAATTTATGATTGTGAAAATCTTGTATTCGTTTAAATTAGAAAATCTCCATAAATTAATTAATTCATTCATTTTCTCTTATGTAAACTCCTATTTAAAACGCAGTGATTTCTGACAAATTATATTTCATTCAAGGTTTTCATACGTGACATTAAGACTTCTTCTTGTTTTCTTTTGTAACAAAGACCTACTGATGTCTATTGTAAGATTTCATAATTGTTTTTACTTCACAGTATTTCTTTAACTTCTGACAAACTCTGAAAAATTTGTTAGATTCTGACGATTTCTTTTTAATGTATTTATTTTCTGAAATTGTACAATTTCACTATTCGTGGAAATCAACTACGTACTTAGATTTCATTGACGACATTAAAAAAAATCAATAAAATCCTTGGAAATAGTCTAAATAAGATAATTGATTATTTGCTTCTTAATAATATTCATCAAATACAAAATATTATTCTCAAAATTTTACTTTTCAAAAATAAACAAAATAAGCTTCTATTGAACTAAATTATAGAAATCTGACTATAAGATTTATATGCCTATAGTATATTACCTTATATCAATGACATATGATTAAAAAAGTTTTATCATACCTTAATATTGCTTTCTTCTGAATAGTATATTTCTTTAAAATGAACGTTTCTTGAAAGTTTTTTTTTTTTTTCTTTACCTCAATTTATTTATTTAGAATGTGGCATGCGTCTTTATCAATATTCTGTACTTGTTTTTCTTATGCAGAGAATTGAAAACAAAATATTTATGAGAACGATCTAATGGCAACGTAGATTTGTATTAGTAACTGTTCATGCATCATGTGTTCTTATTGGCATTTAATGGAATATTTTCAAGTATGCTTTATTGATTGTTCTTTTGAGTTTTCTTTTCTTTAGAATATATTCGAGAACTCTGTTCACTTGTTTTTTTGTCTCCATTCCTTTTAGGCTTTTTACGAAAGAACAAATAAAAAGAAAATTAACAACACTTTTTGAAAGAGAAAGACAAGTAGACGAAATAGAAGAACAAACACATTAGTAAACATATCTCCATTGTCATTTTATAGTTTCTATACAAGATAAATATTATGTATGCGAATAAAATAATAGCTTTTGAACTCAGGAGTCTTTAATACAAAATTAATCTTTAGCTATAAACAGAAAATTTCTAGGCACAAATATCGATTCTCTATCTATTATAATGCATAATTTCTTTTTAATAATTTTAACGAAACTAAATAGTCTGTAATAAAAATCGATAAATGAAACACCAATAAAATGAGAGTAGGAATGTTTCATCCACTATTGAGAATTTCTTTTTTAATTACCTGAATTGAAACAAACCTTTAGGCATTTGTTAATAATTAAATTCTTCCATTTTAAATTCTACTCAAACAAAATAATTTTTGTTACATTAAGAAACGTAGGCNGGCTATATTTCTCAGAATTTCAAAAGAATATCGGCTATTTGTACTTATAAGGCAAAACCTCGAAATAACAAGCATTGTAATTTTTTAATGCAATTCAGATAATAATACTTTTCAAAAATAAAATTCTCATATGAAATGTTAATTATCATACTGTCATACACAAAATTTAAATTCTAACAAAAAGATATGAATTGTAACTTGAAAATTGTAAACATTTTTGTTTTATTGTTTGCATTCCTGTGTGAAAATAATCCTTTTTCTGTTTTTTACGCATGCTACGCTTCTAAAGTTTTTCTTTTAGCTATTTCACACGAATCTCTTGAAAATATTTCCACAGTTTCTTAGGCTTTTGACCTTCGAAGACAAATGACAGGGTACTTGTGAATTGTAGAGATTAGGCTCCCACGAAAAAGACTGGTTTGATAAACGCATTCGATATTTTCGTAGGAAAATGAGTTGTCTATCGAATGAGGTCATCTTCTGCAAGATAACAATGAAATACTGGTGATGTTTCTTAATGTCAGGGATACATATATTAAAACTGTTTAAAGCCTATCTGTGAAAAAGGGACAAATCGCAGTTGAATAAATGACGGACTCTATTTGCATTAAAACTATATAGGATGTGAAGTTTAATTTGATTGAATACATATCGACTCGCGCTCATGTTCTTTAGAGATAGAATAGTATGAGCCCCCGCAGATAACAATACCAAGGAAGAAACACTTTTTGTTAATTATGAAAAATATTAGTCTGAATTGTTTTTCATCCTCGTGTTGTATAGTAAAACTAAAATGACAAAATCGAACTTAACTGGACTCAAGTGGAATAAGTCTAGTGATCTCGTATAAAATTAAACAAGCTGAATCTAGCTGACAAAACTAACATAGTATCAACTATGTTTCTATATTGATTTTCTCGCGTTAGAAATATTCGATCTTATATTATGCTGAAATAATGGGCATTAAGAAAAAAACACGGATGAATAAGTAATTTCTATGGACTATTCGATTGAGTACTTAAAGAATCGATGAGTTATGTGTCACTTCAAATAAAGGAATAGGTCTTCACAATTGATATTGGACATGATTTCTTTTTATTAATACACGTACCCAAAAAATGATTTTAAGTGATTTCCATGCTACTCATTTGATCCTTCATCTGACGATTTTACCTCTTATTCCACATGAAAATTTCGTTTATGGTACCGAATACTAAGTATATTCATTTTACATATAGCAACAACAACAGCAACAACGTCAACAACGAGGACATCAACGTCAACAACTACGGTAACATGTAAGTACACTTTATAATTTATAGTGGACTAAACTCTGAAAGCAAAAAATACATTTCCAATCGTATTTCAATAAACAACCTAGTTTTGATTTAAAAATATTTTTGTTCATTATTTTTCTATTTTTCGACGCCTTCTCCAAACTTTAGAAGCTCAGTCATATCCAATAGCTTCGTCGCATATCAAACTACTGTTTCTCTGGTTTTTCTATGAAACCACTATTCTTTTGAGAATTACAACCTAGAGAACAATTCATTTGTTTTGGTTCGTCTGAGCAAATCCTTATCATTAGTGAAAAGCTACTAGACTAAGCATTCGTGCATTGTTGTTTTACTGCAGAGACTGAGATATTAAAGCATGTATTACTCATACATTTCCTCGAAAATGACTTGACATTTCGAGAGATTTGCTCTGAGACTGGAACATTGTTTTGAAGAGTTTCTTTCAATGATATCAATTACAACTAGCATAAGTCTTCTTGAGCTCACCTTGCCTTTTCAAGAGCTTTATGCTCTATTCAAAGTAATTGTTCATTTGTTGATCATGTATGTTTTAGCTACCACTACTACAACTGCTGAAAACGTAGCTAGTGCCTTCTGGTCATTTGATAGGAATGCACTTGAACTGTATAATACTGGTCTCGACGGTGCTTCCTTCGGTAGTCCAACCTATACAACCAGCTTTACTGGATACGGTGCAGCCATCTCCTTTATTCGATCCTCTACTCAATATGTTTATATTACGTCGAGGATACTTCCGTTCAATTCGCGTAGTTTCACAATCGAAGCATGGATCTATCCTATTGGTTTTTCCAATAGTAATGACTATGGAATATTCGGTCAATGTCAAGCAATAAGTAACAACTCGTGCTTATACTTTATAGTTCGAAACAACAAATTATACTGTGGATTCTATTTTAACGATTTACAAGGCGTAACCACTCTAACAATGAATACGTGGTACCATGTAGCTTGTGTCTATGATTCAGCTACAATGACGCAGCAAGTTTGGCTTAATGGTAACCTTGATGGTTCACGTTTGGCTAGTGCCTACGATGGTCAGTGGGGAATAACAACTATTGGTGCCACTTTCCACTCAGGTAGTGCAGTTGCTTTCAATGGTTACATAGACAACGTACGATTTGAGGCCAGAGCTAAAAATTTGACTGAAATTCTGAACGATGCTACTCTATATGTTTACTACTCGTTTGATGATGGTTCACCTACCGACAATGGGCCCAATGGTATCAATGGAACTGCCTCTGGAAATCTGTCAAGTACAACTGGTCGAGTGAATCAAGCTCTGCAATTTAACTCGGGACCCTATATATACTATTCATATACTCCATTTTACTTTTTGGGTATCAGTGGCTATCCATTTAGTATAGCCTTGTGGGCAAAACCAACAGGAAGTTATGCCGCACAAACACTTGTTTTCATAGAGAAACCATCCGGTTGGTGTGTTCACTGTTTAGTAATGACATCAAGTGGCCAATTAGTTGCTAATAATTGGAATGGTTCTAATGTAGCCACAAATGGCCCTATCATTTCGTTAAACACTTGGATACATATTGGCTATACTTATAGTACAACCAACGGCATTCGATTGTATATAAATGGTACCCAATACTCGACTACAGGTTCTTTTACGTTTTCGGGCTCTGGTGTTCCGATGCGTATCATATTGGGTGGAAATGGCGGCCGCATCTTCTCCTGCTCTCCAAGCTATGGCGGTGCGTTTACTGGTGCCCTCGATGAATTTTTTCTTTATAGGCGTGAACTAACAGCAGGTCAAGTTTGGGCATTAGCCAATCCTTAAGCTGACACTGCAAAACTTGTTGTCGATGTTGACTACTATGGCACTCATATCTTTTAGTCGATAACTGTTTTTTCATTTAAGTAAATATATGTAGATCGTGACTTTCAACTCTTATTGCGAATAAAATTTCGAATGCATTGCACATACAACCCGTGCAATAAAGATATGCTCAAGATAGTTGCTGCCTGTGTGTTTTTTACTTATAGTTGTGCTTTAAATTCTCTGGACAGAAATAAGAGTTGAGAAAACAAGTTTGATAATCCATAGAGTATATAGTGATATTTCGATTCGACAACCTGTATTAGATATGAATATAAAGGTCAGGAACATATATTGGCTTCTGTTTGAGAATATTAGATGTCCATATTACCGGAAGAATTGCTTATGGTGTGAATTGTAGGTCTTCTTTTCACTGATACATTCACACTCTTAAGTATATAATAATGAAATTTTATGTTCGTCAGATTGCAACTTATGCATCGTCCTAATTTCATGTTTTTCAGACGTTGTATCGTCAGCTATCATCAAAATTCAGTGATCAAACAGAAAGTTCATTTTCATATATAATCATTACATAATTGAATTTTTTGTTCAGGTAAAAACACCATCATTGTTATGTAAGTCTCTTTCGAAGAACATTAACAATCATTAAATCTATAATTGTATTTTGTTTGATTTTTTCTTCAATTTTCTGTTTCCAGTTACAAACCAGGAAAATATGTGCGAAGAGGCATTTTTGCACGCATGAAATAGCCAGATTTCGACATATCTGACGATGATCAAAAATGAATCCAAATGTGTTCCTAAATATTTACCAGTACATCAAGTTTAACAATCTTCGAAATACATGATTTGATTTCGGATCGGTCGTTTGTCAGTGAATGCTTGCCTAATATGACCCAAATATTGTATAACAATCTTTAGAATAATATCAAGACTCGGTCCCTAATCAACAATATAAAAAGGTTATAGTTGCATGGAAATCGACACAAAAGTATGATTCATTGTGAATGTTGACATAGAATTATGTCAATTTCTTGAGTAAAGAAAGAACGAATAAATGTTTATGACGTCACATATAAAGCACTTCCTTCTGACTGTTGCACGTGCTGCACAATGTACACAGTAGGACAGTGAAAGAAAGACCAACAGACTGCAAAAGAAATGTTAATATTTTCTTTCACTTACGACGTCAATCAGACCAAACAAATGACAAAATCCATATGAAATAAATTTCTTCATGCAACTTAATCTGTGCTCGTTGATATCTACCGACTGTTGAACAGACAGCGTGAAATAATTTGGTTTATTTTCTGTCTATGTTCGACTAAGTTCATGCTTTTTATGACATACTCCAGAATGACGCTCTACAGCAATGCTCGATTTCGAATGTAATTACGTAGTTCAATTGAATCATTCTGCTTCTTGTAATTTTCTAGATCAAGTAAAACAGAAATTATTTTACTTGTTTTTATGTCATTTATATAATGGCAATCTCACAATCTGTGAACCGTCGAATACAATCTGAACTACGACTATTGATTAATGATCCACAAGTGAAATTATATTTTCATTATGAAACTTCTGGCTACTATAATAACGATCAAAGTAAACCATTTCTAATATATGGCTATATATTACCTCGAGCTTTTCCATACAAATATGGTTCATTCAAAATAAAACTTAGACTACCTTATGAATATCCATTTCGAATGCCAGAAGTAATATTTCTAACACAGATTTATCATCCACAGATTCAATATTGTGGAAAAGAATTGGTATCTTATTGTTGTGAAAGATGTGAAAATTGGGTTTCAACAATGAATCTTGCTAAATGGATTGAGCGTGTCGTAGATAAAATTGATCAAACTAATCCTGATTCATTTTCTAATCCTAGAAATTTTGCAGCTCAATCACACTACTTCCAAAATAGAGATGATTATTGGAGAACTGTAATCAATATGATCGAAAAATATTCGTATCGACGAACAGATGAATCGACAATGTCATTAAAATTTATTTCAAAACGATTCATTCGCGCACAACTTGGATTTGATTCCAAAAGAATCAATCAGTTACCATTACCCGAGGTTCTGAAACGATATTTACATTCATCATTCGATCAAAAACAAAAGATTGTCAACTGCTCAACATTTTCTGCTGTCTAAATAATAAGTTCATTCACATTTTCAAATAAAGTCTGAATCAAAATGAATTGAATGCAAATTTCATGAGATTCATTCACTGTATCAAAAAGTAATTGTCCTTTTTTAGTGACAGTATGTACTGAGCAAGCAAAAGTTACTAATGAATGTCATCGATTAAAACAATCTTCATAATTCTATAAATGTTGATTTCATTTTAATTAACATTTCGAGTGTAGAATGACCACGAATTGTTTCGAGTTCGTATTCACCAGTAATCAAGATCTAAAGGTATTGATATCCTCACTATACAAAATGACATGGCATACAGATCATATAATTCAGAGATAACATACTTTTTGAAACATGATCTTTATCGTTTCACATTAATATCCGTAGAGCAAATTTCAATAGACAAAGAAAGAACAGCTACATGTTCGTATACTTTCTGCATGTATATATGTACTACTTAACATGGAATAATATAGAATTCATTAGTCGATATCACATGAATTTTTTATACATGTCACAGAGCATTTTACATAGTGATTTAGGAAAAGTATGACAAGAGATGGAATGAATTCAACTTTTCGGAAAGGTTTTTTTTTTCGAATAGAAACGATCGAAAACCGAGTCTATATTTACTCATAGGATGTTGAGAAAAACAAAACAATATTTGATCTTTTATGAAAGTATTGGATAGGTAATTTGTAAGGACGAGTGATGTATATTTTTATTGTAAAACTTATGAACTATACTAACGAGGGAACCTTTTCAGATGATACCCACCGTTTTGATTCGTTTGTATCTCATTTAATCGAGTATATTGATGTAGTAAAAAGTCTAAAGGGATTTTTCCCCAATGTTCTTCCTTCAAAAGTTATGGTCGTTTTATTGAATTTTCCACCCATTCCCAGGTATTTACGAAAAAATCAAAATAGGGAATTTCGACTTGATATTTCGCCTATAGATAGGTCTAATGGTCTTTAGAATATCCTGAAAGTTTCAGCTAAAAAGAATGTTCCTTTCTTGAGATATTGAATTTTCAAGTGAACTCGGTTTTTGTGACCAATCTGTGGCAGACGACTATTTTTTGAAAATTCAATATCTCAAGAAAGGAACATTCTTTTTAGCTGAAACTTTCAGGATATTCTAAGCACCATTAGGCCTATCTATGGGCGAAATATCAAGTCGAAATTCCCTATTTTGATTTTTTCGTAAATACCTGGGAATGGGTGGAAAATTCAATAAAACGACCATAACTTTTGAAGAAAGAACATTAGAGAAAAATCCTTTTAGGCTTTTTACTATCTCAATATACTCAATTAAATGAGATACGAATGAATCAAAACGGAGGGTGTCATCTGAAAAGGTTTCCTTGTAAGTTTAATTAATGTTTAATGGATTTTGTTTAATTTTTCAAAAATAGAAAAATATACCATGTTCATATGAATAACCTTTTCCTTGTCTATGTCTTGTTCATATTTCAGAAAGAAATAAAATGATATCGAAATTAAGGATAAAAAATGCTTACAAAAATTATCAAAAAGAAAAGATTATTTCAAGATATAAATATGTAATATCTTTGATCATAAAATCGAAAATGATTATCATCTAAAAAATAATTCAAATAGGAAAATGCTGAATAAATGCTATAACATAATATGATGTTTTTCTTGCATAGTTCTTCTGTACAAAATTAAAATAAAACAAAGAAAATCTATCATTCTCTACTGTTACATATTTCTATCCAGTACAAATAAAAAATTGACAAAAAATATTCATTTCTCTTCATTATTTATGCTATGCAATAAATTATTCAAGCTTTTTTCATTTTTTCAAGATTACAAAAATTAAATTCAATCTATTAATTATCATTCATGTAATAAAAAATACAAAAGTTGACCAATATAATATAAGTTATATGTGATAACTTTCATTTGAATATTGAATAATTTATTATGACAGATGCATTTTTTCTAAAGCATTGATGCATAAAAAAAGGTCTTTTTTTATCGAAGGGAAGAACAAAGGTTTAATAATAAAATTCACTAAAAAGCATGCTAGAAGAAATTTAATGTATTAATCAGCTACATTTAAAAAATGTTCAATATACGTAGTTGCTAATTAGCTTTGTTAATTTATTCATATGTCACTGATCTAGAAGCAAGTTGCTTTTCTGGTTGATCAAGTCGTGTTACTATCAGTGGCTCTAGTAGTATTATCGGAGCATCGTCTGGTTTTTTCATTGTTTCTGTAACTCTAAAGAAAAAAAGTGTAATGACAAATTTATACCAACATAAAACGTACTGATCATTTTGTTTAGTATCGTTGGTAGTTTGTTGAGTCTCTTGTTGATTTACCTGGTCCATATTAAGATAGATGCAAAAATGAATGATTAGAATGAAATGTACGACGTATATAAATACGCAAAGGATAATGTTGTTTTTCACACTTTTTTTTTCTTCTACAAACAAATGAAGATATAATCATAGGTAAAAAAACACACGTGACGATTCAATCGGTGTAACCTTCAATTTTTTACTCTTCACGTACCGTTTTTATGATTAGAAAATAATCATTAAATGAAAATATGACTTCTCAATTACAAACAAAAGTATTAGAACCATTTTATAAGATTTTCTTTAAAAAAAATCAATTATTGATGCATGTATATAATAAATTATAGAAAAACTAATTTGAAAATTTAATAAAATAATCAATTCAAAAAATTTTCGTTTGATAAAATTTTTTTGTCAAATCTTCATATTAGTTATAAATAAATATTTTAGCTCTATTCGCGACTATTAGCATGATGCAAAATTTTAACAACATAATGATTGAATCAACATAGAT